TTCCGATCATCGTCGAACTATTTCTGAAGGCAAAGTGTAAATAAAAAAAAATTGAGTGAGTAAAGTGCACAAAAACGTATAGGTGGGTGAGTAAAGTGTAATATTTTCAATTACAATTAATTGAATGGATGACTGAAAAGTCAGTTTTGACCTTAGAAATTTCCGACGATGATCGGAAATTGGGTAAGTGAAATTTTTTTCGCAAAGTTATATACTTATATAGGAAAAGTGTTACGAAAAAAAGTTGAGTGGGTAAAGTGCAAAAAATCTTATAGTTAGATGGGTTAAGTGTAGTTTTTCTAATAAAATATAAGCATAACTTTTTTACCTTTTTTTTGATTAGTTTCGAGCCTGAATTTGTCATTTGAAAGATCAAACTCCAAAGCTCTACCAATTAATCGCTACAAAAATAAAATACTTAATTGGGTACATTTAGCAAAATTAGTATGTACCCCGTGCGATGCACGGAACAAAGATATTAAATAAGTTATTTTAACAGGCTCTGTCCAAGTCTAAAAAGCAATAGGATTATCATCTATTTTCCACCTATTTTAATCAGTGTTATGTCTAAAAATAATAGGGTAATAATATATTTTTCACATATTTTAATCAGCATTGTTTTTTTAGACAGAACATTAAATATGAGCATATTAGGGGTAGTTTGTAAAATAATTAATATATTATTTCACTAATACATTCATACTAATATAAATTTGATTTTAGTATATATATATTTATTTATTCCTTGATATAAAAGAAAATAATTGTTTTACTTATTCTTGTTCACCATATAGTACTTAACTATTATTTTATTATAAACTTTATTGTCATATAATGTCATTATTATTTATAAAAGTTATAGAGGTTGTACGTCTTTTTTTTATTTTATATAATGAAACATATTTAATACACGTTAGTATTATTTACTTATGTAATCAATTTAAAATATGTAAATAAATTTAAAATTTAATAGTGTATAAATATTTTACAAAATATACACACATGTTTTTTTTAGATTTTAATTTGTTGTAATAATTAACAACTTTGATTTAGCAAATATCAAAAACTCAATCCTTCTATAATCAAGATGTTTCTAATTCGCACTATAAGGATTTATAGTTTATTTAGCATACTCTACAATGAAAATATTTTTTTACCAGAATTTCATTATAGAAAGAATTAAAATAAAAATAATAAAAAAAAATAGTCATGCTTGCCAATAATATACATATAAATTTTAAAGAATAGTTTATATATTTTAATTTAACTTTTTACCATTAGTAAAACTATTTAATGTATCTGATCATTATCTCTTAACTGGTAAATTTTATTAATCCGAAGAATAATTTATTTTTTATATATAACGAAATAAATCTTAAGAAAAAATTATATTGGCAAAGATTAATTGTCCAACTTAATTTCGCCTGGTTAATTGGAAGAAAATTTTTTACTTAACCTGTTACGACTTTCAATAATTATTTTTGGATAGTAAGTGAATTTATATTATGGTTAGAACTTAAAATATGTTGTAATATTTATCTTGACCAAAATATTATCAACATGAATCACGAAAAATTCATCTTATAATTTATTATAATGTATATCAATGATATTAATAAAATTACTTAAGGAAACAATATTTTTTATCAAATCTGATTTGATCTTATTTGAAAACGTGTATATGAAAGCTATTAATGCATATATTTAAAAAGTTTTTAAAAAAAAGTATGCATTAAATACTCTCAAAATTTTGTATTACTAATTTTAGTAAATGATTATTCTTATTTTATATATATAGATTGGTAATATTGAATGGAGATGCTAATGCCACACTTCCCCCATCACAATAGATGATTTTTAGTTATAAATATGTTTTTTAAATATTTTTTTTATGTGACGTATCATCAACATTTAAAAATTTAAACGAGCAAACATTTTATGTGTTACATGCGATATTCATTATAACAAGACGAGTTACGATATATAAATGAATGATAGCTTCTCGATTTAGATTTTTATAACTATTTCATTTTCACGAGATCTGTAACGGCAGCTTATGAAACAACTTTTTTCTGAAATTGATTTCTCTAGCCGTTCTATTAGGGTTTCTGGAATGACTCGCGGTCGATATGGATTAGACCATAAAATGTCTAGAAAGTTAAATCGATTCACATCGAGATCGAACTCATTTTCCAAGAATATTTTTCTTAAGGTTGAAGCTACATAAAAGATGATACAAGGTAACATGTTTATTGTTTAATTTCTTAGTTTACAGCTATATCGGTTGAATAAAAGGCTAAATCGATGAGATCCATTTGAGCATTTGGTTGAATTTGTGTGTAGTGTAGGTACATAAATTATCCTACAGAAACATCCAATAATAAAGTGTTTTTCAACACCGTTTTGTAACATTTAAATTTGTGAAAAAGTTCTACGCAGATAATTGTTTATTGTTATAAAAAATGTTGATTAGGTTTGACTCTTAATTGCTTGATGTTTAATTTTTTCATTTGTTATTTTTTTTTCATTGTAGTATTAAGTTACCAATGTCTTGATGACTTTAGATGAATCTGATTTATTTATTACTTTGAAATATTGAATTTAATTTTCAAGTGTTCGTGTTGTGAATATCTTTTCACACTGAAAAAAAAATTGTTATATTCTAACGGAAAATCTTACGGTAATATATTCTATTAGAAATTTCAACAAATATTCCAATGACATAGCTTCCGTTCGAATAATTTTTAACGAAAATATTTCGACGGAACGAATTTTTCTTTGGAATTTTAGATGAAATTTGATGATTCCAAACTATTTTTCCAACGATTTTTTACCGTGAGAATTTCTGTTGGAATATGTCATTTTCGTTGTAATTTTTATTTTCACCCCCATTGAAAAATCTACCGTTGAAATCGTCAAAATCTAACAAAAATTCTAATGGAAAACTTATTCCAACGGATTATTTTTATTACAATTTCCGTTGAAAAATTCAGATAGAAATAATAACATTGGAATATCTATTAGAATCAGTGTTGGGATTTCATTGGAATATATTATGTTGAAATCTTTTGTTGGAATTTCATCATTTTTTTATAGTGTAATGAGAACATTATATAAAAGATTCATCTATCACGATTATGGATATTATGAATTTTTTATTCCTATAAAATGCTTGGATTTAATTTTTGTCAAGAGAGATGGGTGTGTAATATTTGTTATATGATCATGTAAGTATGACTTTTTATTTCTGTTTGCAAAAGAATTATAGCATGTGTGTGCCAGTTGGTTCTGAAAAATGTAATGTGATATATTTAGTTATTTTGTAAGTTGTTGAATTAAAAATTTTCACATTGTGGGGAACTTGAGCGATTACTAGTTATAAGGCGAAAATTCAATTTTAGTCCGCTAATTTGTTTATTGTCCACTTTTGGTATACTATTTTTCTCCTCATAAAAAATGGTCCATTATGTTACACTTTTCATCAGTTTTAGTACACTAATCCAGTGGCTCGGGATTACGAGATGCCAAATCAGGTTTTTATCCTACCACGTCAATATCTTATCGTTCTACGTAGTTCCAATCTCGGTCCACGTCATCTTGTAATCCCGCCAACTGGAGTAGCGTACTAAAACTGATGAAAAATGTAACATAATGGACCATTTTTTATGAGGGGAAAGATAGTGTACCAAAAGTGGATAATGGACAAATTAGCGGACTAAAATTGGATTTTTTTTGTAATCCAAGTTCTCTCTCTCTCTCTCACACACACACACACATATATATATAGGAACGGATCCAATGAGACCACTCCTTAAAATGAGTACGTGAGACTCAATCTTAGCCACTCATTTTGTCTAGATCAAAATCAATTAAAATATACATTAATTAAATAATAAAATAATTATTAGTTGACTCCGGTGTTGACGGTTGACTCCCGACGTTGACCTAGCAACAAAAGACACTCAACCTTGAGTGATGTAGTAGATGCATTGCTTGTCTTGCTTCCATGAGGTACCAGGTTCAAATCCTATGGGTTACAAAAAATAACCTAGCAACAAAATACAACTAACCTAGCAGCATCAGTTAACTAACCGAGCAACAAAACACAACTAACCGAGCAGCATCAGACAACTAACCTAGCAACAAAACACAACTAACCTAGCAGCTACAGATAACTAACCTAGCAACAAAAGACAACTAATCTAGCAGCAAGAAAGAAATAACCTAGCAACTTAAGACAACTAACCTAGCAACAAAACTCAACTAACCTAGCAGAAAGAAATAAATAACCTAACATAAACAGACAACTAACCTAGCAACAAAACACAACTAACCTAGCAACAACAAACAACTAACCTAGCAACAAAAGATAACTAACCTAGCAGCAACAAAAGACAACTAACCTAGCAACAAAAGACAACTAACCTAGCAGCATCAGACAACTAACCTAGCAACAAGAAAGAACTAACCTAGTAACAAAAGACAACTAACCTAGCAACAAAACACAGAAAGAAAAAACTCATGCTCTCTCTCTCTAGGAAAACTCTCTGCCTTCTCTCTAGAATCAATCCTCCCAAACATATCACTTTCACCAATAATTTTTTGTTTTCTGTCCAGTTTTCAGTCCGGCAAGCCAGCGCCGGTGCCGGCCGGCACCAGGCCGCCCTCACCTCTCGCATAAACCAACCCACAGTTCGTTTTTAATTTTTAACCTTTGTCCCAACCTTTTTCTATATTCGGTCTAGTCCTCTAATCTCGATCTTCTGAAAGACATGGGTCCTCCGGCTATTTCTCCGGTAAACATTAATGTTTCGGAGCTGGACCTTTTCATGTCTCAGCCAGAACTTAGAGAGGCTCTCTCAGCCTTTATCAAAAAAATAAAAAAAAATAGTAAGGAAGAGGAAGATAGCAAAATCATAGAGGAAGGAGAAATAGTGGCAGAGGTCCGGGAAAATCAAGCCGACATCTCCGCGACGGGAAAAATTGGAAACATAAAATCGCTGCTCGTCGCCTCTTCTCAAGCCGAGACTTCTAAGGGGCCGTCGTCCTCTAAAATTCAAATTGGAATCGGAAATCCGACGACCTCCCATGAACCGGATACAGCGAACCGAGGCCCACATATTACTGAGTCACCGCTGGTTCTCGGGGCAGCTTGTCTCAGCTTTGGGCAACTTCCTTCAATGCCGAAAGTCTCGATGGAGAAGACGACCATCGCCGCCTCACCTGCAGCTTTGACCGGTCAAGACAACCTTCCCTCAGCTCCGTATTTATGCAATGGCCAAATGTCACAAGTGGAAGACCTAAATGGCCACGTGACATACCCTGACCAAAGCAAAACCATTTTGGCCCAAGTATCCTTGCCTGGGCCCAACCTGATTTTAACCCAGCCCACAAAGTCGGCCTTTCAATCTTCACAATCCCAACCCACTCTCCATTCCATCCTAGGGCCGATGCCTACAACCCCTCATCTCCGTCCTTACAGGCCCGTTTCACAAACACAGCCCAACAACACCCTATCCAACCCAACCTCCAAGACCTCCCTAAGCCCACATCACCCACAGCCCATCTCTACTCCCATCTCATCCTCAGCATCACAGCCCAACCCAACATCCCAACCCACCTCCACTATCAAACCCGTCATCCTCCCAGCTCCATTCTCGCTGATGCAAGCCAACCAACAGCAGACGCTGGTCAAATGACCCTCGCCGGTGCCGGCGGAAATACGGCCACTGGAATATTTCGGCCGGCCAGAAATATGTCTGGGGATGTCCAGAAATCGTCTCTTTCCACCGGCATTCTCGGTCCCCGACCAAAATCGGCCTCTCCGACCGAAAAATTCACTGAATTAGCCTCAGCTGCTGTCGGAGACACTGAACCGGGCATATGGTACGTTCGGGAAGATGGTGTGGTTTTTACGAGACCAAGCACGACGTCCACGGGCCACTCGAACGGAATACCGCCGACGGGCCCCACCACGGCCAACCCACCTGCAGCCGGAACACTTCCGGGCATCTCCAATGGCCCGCTTTCATTCTGAGAAGCTATTACCGGGAAGAAAGATGACGGCAAGGGCGCTCCGCGTCCGACGCCCAAGGATTTCACCTTTGACGGGGGATACGAGCAGGCATGCGGAACCATTATCCGCTCGAAGGGAAACAAGGTGAAGGCCCGATTCACTGAAGCCGAATCTGATACTCTAGCAGGTAAGTTAGCTAACACCCTGGTGTTTAAGTTTACTTATGCTATCCCTGCCCCCCGAGATATATTTGCTGGATTAGGTAAATTGGGTTTGAAGGGTAGATTGTCGTCTAAGTGGTATAATTTCAATCATCTCCTAGTCACCTTTTCTCTTCCCGAGGACTATAACGAGGTTTGACTTAAGACCTCGATTCATCTGTGTGGATGCCCAGCTAGGGTGTTCAAGTATAATGCCGGGTTTAACCCGAAGACGGAGACGCCTGTTGTCCCCGTGTGGTGCCGTCTTCCCGGCCTACCACCCCACCTTTACGATCGTGCTGCCATCACTACACTCGCTAAGTGTATTGGACAACCGATTCGTATTGACGCCCCGACGGCCCTTCAGTCGAGGGCTAACGTGGCGCGATTCTGGGTCGAGATAGACCTTAGAGTTGAGCCCGTTCATGAGATTGAAATTGAGCAGGGCTCGGAGACCTTTGTTCAACGGGTGATCTATGAGAAGATCCCCGCGTTCTGCACTTCATGCAGTCATGTGGGTCATATTGCGGCTGATTGCTACTCTAGTGGCAATAAGCCACGGCCTACACTTCCGCAGCGCCGCCGTGCTACTCAGCCGGGGCCATCCACCGGCCGGAGGGACCCGAAGGGAAAGGGCAAAAGCCCTCTCCGCGCGCCCGAGACCCCGAAGGGGTCTGAGGATAAGGGCAAGGTTGTGATTGTCGACACTGCCCAAACTGGGAATGATGCTCATCCTAACCAGCCTAAGCAGTTGGCCATAGTAGGACCCAAGCCCAAGTCCACGGGCTTTCTCCCCAGATAGACCTTACAGTCGGCCTTTAAGGCCAACCACTCATATTTTGCTATTCTCTCTCCAGAGGCATAGAAGGAGGCTGTGCCTTCTTCCAGCGGCCCACCTAGGATTCATGACCTCACGCTTCTGGATGACGACGACCTCCTAGTAGACGATATGGACCAGCCAGACGCCTCGTCCAGGGGAGAGTCCATACATCTATTTGATGACAGTGCGCGCGATGCCGGTTCTTTGACTGTGCGCGTATCTAGCCCGATCAGATCTTTGGGTGTGAGGGCTACTGCCGTCACCGCTACCCCGAAAGGGGATGAGTCGGCCCATCTCCTCCCTGTTGAGATTGGGAGCTCGGCTGAGCATATAGCCAGCTCCCAGCCTCCTCCTGACGGCGAGCACCCGAGTGCTCCGCCTGCTGGTTCCTCTCTTTCACCCATCCCCGAGCAGGTATGCGGGCTTAACCGCGCTCAGCATGACGTCTCATGCGAGAGCTTCGCCTCTAGTGCATTCCTTCACTTCGACAGACAGGAGACAGCCCTGGAGATGGGGCAACCCGCTAGTGCTGCGATAGGTCAGTCTGCCCAGCCAGACGACTCACAGGCCACGAGCACATACCGAGGCAGACAGTCCACGAGGACCAGAGCCACGCAGCGCACGACACGACGGACGACCTCCTCTGCTATTGGATCCTTCCGCCGCATGCCTTCTTTTGGTGACCCGACTCGGCCTCGCCATAGGCGGACTCCGTCCGGTGGCTCTTGCGACCGTTGATATGTCCATCACATCCATTACTTGGAATGGCCGTGGCCTGGCGAATAGGGCTACTCTCTCTCACCTTCATTCTCTCATTCGTGATCACAGAGTCGATTTTGTGGCTTTATTGAGCCGATGATTCGCACACCTTCTTTTGACTACTACTCGCGTCGTCTGGGCTTCCACTCGGGCGTGGGTAATATTTCGCATAAGATCTGGTTTTCCACTCGCGTGACAACACTTGTCGGGTCCTCCGCGAGACCGATCAGGTGCTTCACGTTGAGCTTTCCGCTGCCCACCTCCCGGAGCCCATCTTTCACACCTTGGTTTATGCCAAGTGTACTAGGGTCGGGCGATATGACCTTTGGGACACCCTGCGTGAGATTGCCGAGAGTATGGAGGGATTGCCATGGATGGTTAGTGGCGATTTCAACATCTTTCTGCATCCCGATGAGCGTGTGGGTGGCCGTACGGACCGGTCAAGGGAGATGTGGGATTTTGCTCAGGCGGTGGCGGACTGTGAGTTAATTGACGCTGGATGTGATGGTGAGCCCTTCACATGGGTGAGGGACGGACTCAAAGAGAGGTTAGACCGTGCCTTGGTTTCTGAGGCGTGGGCGAAGGTGTTTGCGGTTACGACCGTCACACACCTTACTCGATTTGGGTCTGACCATTCACCCCTTCTCATCTGGTGCCGATTTTCGAGCACCCCCCGCCGCTCTTCATTTAGGTTCCAGAACATGTGGGTTCGCCACCACTCCTTCCACGACACTATCAGGGATTCCTGACTTCAGCCGACTGGGCTCTTCGGGATGAGCAATCTCGAGGCGAAGCTCGGCAGACTGCGACGTCGGTTGAGACAGTGGAACTGGGATGTTTTTGGAAACCTTCATCAGCGCCTTGCTGCGGCTCAGAGTGCGCACGCGACGGCTGAGCGGGCCTATGACCTGGACCCTACTCCGGAGAATAAGACTGCTATGCACCGCTGCCACGCCGAGTACCAGCTCCGACTCCTTATGGAGGAGGACTTCTGGAAGCAGAAGGCGGCCGTTCGCTGGGTGGCCGAGGGCGAGCGGAATACTAGGTTCTTCCAGGGCTACGTTAGGTAGAAGCGTGCTAAGTCGTACATCCATAGTATCGAGGCTGATGGGTCATCCTTGACCCAGGAGGCTCAGATTCGGGAGTCGGCTGTTGCTCACTTCCAGACCCTCTTCACATCTGACAGAGGGTCCCTCGTGGCCTCGACCGCTTCTTTCTTCCCCACCATCCCTTCTTCGGTTGATCTCATTGGACTATATGAGCACATTCACCCTCTCCTCTTCCAGCGCGGCCACGTGGGCTCAGCGGGTCCACGACATTACTGGTTTTGCGCGTGGCGATCTTCCGATTACCTACCTTGGCGTCCCTTTATATAAGGGCAACCTCACGAGAGCACTCTTTCCGGGCGTCAGGCAGAGGATGATCGACAGGATCTCTGGTTGGTCGCATAGACATCTTTCTTTCGGTGGTCGGCTTGCGCTGATCAAGAGCACTCTTAGCTCTCTTCCGATTCACTTGCTTATGGTTCTCGACCCCCCTAGGTCTACTCTTGACGAGATAGGCTAGATTATGGCTCGTTATTTCTGGGGTTACGAGGACGGTTCTGGGAGGGGGTGACGTACCCACTGGGTGAGTTGGGACTCCATCTGTCGTCCCCTCCTCGAGGGTGGGCTTGGCATCCGCCGCCTCAGGGACATTGTTACAGCTTTCTCATACAAGCTGTGGTGGCGCTTCAGGGAAGAAAAGTCGCTTTGGGCTCAGTACCTTCGCGGCAAGTACTGCCCTAGACGTGCCAACCACCCTTGTTGGGTGACGGCTGTTGATCATGATAGTAGGCAGTGGCGGTGCCTCACTAGGGTTGGTAGGCGCGCCCAGGATCACATCTTCTGGGTTCTGGGCGAAGGCGATGTTAGTTTATGGGATGAGTGGTGGGTAGGTGATAGGCCATTGTCTAGAGATAGGCAGGTGTCGCATTCCCCCTACCTGCTTGTGAGCGACCTCTGGACGGACGGGTCGTGGGATAGGGGGAAGCTTGATAGGGAGTTGGGGTCTGGTGCGGGTTTTAGCGGGCATTTATTAGATCAGATCCAGCAGATCCCTATCTCGGGGGACGGTTCAGATAGCATGAGGTGGAGACTTACATCATCGGGTGTGTTTTCTACTACCTCGTCTTGGGAGCAGATAAGGCTGAGGGATCGGCCTAATCTCCTCTTCGGGGCCATCTGGAGTGACCTTTTCACCCCTACTATTTCGGTGTTCCTTTGGCGCCTCCTCTTGCGCCGGATACCCGTCGATACTGTGCTACACGCGAGAGGGATCTCCTTCCCCTCTCGGTATGTGTGTTGTTCTGAGACTGGACGCCATGAGACCGAGACCTTTACCCACATTTTTCTAGAGAGTGAGATTGTGAGGAGAGTGTGGGAGCATTTTGCCACTTGGACTCATATATCCCTACTCAGCACATACAGTTTTTTTGAGCTCCTGAGTTTTTTCTCACAGAGCACACACCTTAGACACGTGGGCTTCCTCATTCCTTGTCTGATCCTTTGGTTCACCTGGACAGAGAGGAATAGTGCGAAGCATAGGGATATTACTTTTATGTTTTCTCACATTGTTTTGAAGGTAGAGAGACACATTTCACTCCTCATCGCATTGGGCAGGCTCACGGCCCGATACTGGACAGGTTGCACGCCACCACATCGCTTCATGGTGGCCCCACCACCGCCTGTTCGGCACCCTCGGCCCAGAGCTGTTGTTTGACTTCGACCTGACTCTCCGTGGGTCAAGCTAAACACTGATGGCTTCCTCGAGCTATGATGCAGAGATTCAGGCATTACAGATCGGCCTTCAGATTGCTGTCCACCTCTCTAGCCACATTTGGATCGAGCTAGACGCTGCGGCTGTCGTCACCCTTTTGACCTCGGGCCACCAGGGCTCGTGGCAGATTCAGCACACGCTTATGCGTATTAGAGATCTACTCCGGTCTGTCCATCACAGGATCACGCACATTTTCCGTGAGGGGAACAGACCCGCCGACTATCTTGCCAGCCTTGGCGCCACCATACCAGACACACATACATTCCAGACCGACACTGCTCCACTCCGCCTTCGCACCCTTGTACGGATGGACCAGCTTGGACATCCTGCTTTCCGCTTTCACTAGTTTAGGATTTTTGCTTTCATTAGTCTAGACATTTATTTCGGGCATCTGTTAGCCCGAAGATCGACTATGTATTGTAGTTTCTATTTCTTTTTCGTTTTTCGGTTCTTTTTGGTTTATGGTTTTTGATTTTGATTTGTGAGACGATGTAGACTATTGTATCTTGATCGTTGATATTCTGGGCCCCGACTTTGGGGTCCTGATCTATGCACAGGTTGGGGATCCAGCCCAATCCCCCGCCCTTCCGAGGCGTTGTTTGTTAAAAAAAAAAAAAAAAAAAAAAAAATTTGT